CGTAATTTTACTCTCTTTCTCTATCTCGACTTCGCGCTTTTCCTTACAGAATCTTTCATAGGTCTCACTTTCAAGAAGAAGAGCAACTGATTTAGACTTCAATCCTAGGCGTGATGAGCATCGGCATGAACTGAATACCCTTTGCACTGCCCTGTTAGTCCTGTATCAAACTTTGTAATCAGAAAAATGTCATTTATTATGAAGAAGTGGCGGGTTGGGAGCTATCACAACTTTGTCACAAGAAGAAGGAATGCTCGGCGTTGTCCGGGAGATTCAACTGGTGTACACAAATGTTTGCAAGATGTTTGTTGCGTTGACAAGGCTTACTGCTTATTTTCAGCTGTGGATGGCTGCGTGAAGGGACTACGTACTAGTATTATAGGCGCTGCGATCTAATTGAAGTTGTGGCTGGAGTCGGGGTGGAACGGTGCTATCGGTAGAGTGAAGAACGACGACAGACTCGGTGACGGCGACGATGCTGATAGTCATGATGCAATAGCCGGACAGAGTATCCTACCGGTTACTACCTTTCCGAAGAGGCAACTGTGCGCTCTACGTCGGTCCTTTGAGCCGACGGAAAGGCGCGATGGCTGGCTTTGAATTCCTATGAGTGGTCATTGTTATGATGTCGTCCAGAGATGTAGATTTTGTAAGGGTAAGCGAAAAGACAAGCGCTCTGTCTAATTTGGAATGCCGCATAGTTGGGAAACTTCCTATGGAATGTTTTGTAGTCAGAAATGAATAATTTGTTCCTGAAAGAAGAATAAAGGGCAAGTAATGCAATTCAACATATTGAACGAACACATTTGTTGGCAGGAATTTGACTTGGAATATTTTTTTCTTTGCCTTTTTAACTCATCCATACCACGACGTCACGTCGAATTTGTTATCGTAATGATGAGTTCGCATTTCCAATTGAAGGGACCACTGTCAAGCAAATTTCGAGCCCCCATAACTTTTTTTTCGGAAAGCCATTTTGTAGGTTAAATTTAAAATTCATACACAGCATTCGAAACTCTATCGACTAATCTGGGTCTCCATTCAACAAGAAGGATTAAACAGTCTCGTGAGTGGGTTACACAGTTACCCCGAACACACACCCTCCGAACACCCGTCACATACAACACAACAGAAAGGTATCTCGAGTGAAGCTCATTGAGGTGATGGGGTACTAGGGATTTACTGTATCACACATTCACGGCACGTTAAAATCCATCTAATCTCCATTCAAAGCTCCATTGTAGGCACACTACCCCTCCTTGGTTAGTGGTGCACTTGGGAACGAGTGTGTTGCGCCAATCTACCGCGCGATTTTTAAAACCAGGTTAGCGATATATTGCACAATTTTTCGAAATCTGATTGTCTGCAGTGTTGGGAGGCTGGAATTTCTCTTTATTTATCGTTCTTATCTGCTTAATACCATCAGCACTGTTTTTTAAATCTGTAAATTACAGGTATTACAAGTAAATGAGGAGGGTGGACGAATTCAAAACCAGGCTTGACAATGCGACAACTTCGAAGAAATCCTCATTAGGTAAGAACCAACATTCATCTTGAAATAGTCACTTGAAGGTTCTCGTTTTCATCGAATGTTGCACTCTAAACACTACTGATTTAATCGGTCAGGCAAGGCAGCAGAGGCTCAAGTGGGTAGGTAGGTCTACCACTTCCAACCTAGCCATTTCTGCTGGATTTTCCGTATACCTCAACACTGTATGTCGTTTTTTTGAGCAAGATCTTGGCAATTAAATGTCGCGACTTTAGCTTTTTAATCGTGTTAGTAGAGGTCGTCTTTCCACTTCCGAATGTTTCCATGCTACGAATAGTACATGCGTATGATTGAAACCATGAATACCTTGCTCGATACGTTTCCTTTGATAGTAGCATGCTCCGCATTGTCCAGCTCTCTGATTTTCCGTGACTTCTCAACTTCGTTGCTTCGTAGTGCTGAAGCAGTTGAGAGGGGAAGTAGCCAGGAACCGTATCTGAGTTGCAGAGAAAGAGGCGATCCAAGGTCTCTTCGCCAAAGCTGTATTTCCTAGTCCGCTTTTCGTTTTTGCTCCATAGCCGCATCCCGATTCTACAGGGGAGGAGTGTATCAGTAAGAAATCTTTTCTGTTCTCTCCCCATTGCAGGGTCCTTCCTCGAATTGAAATATCTCTGAAGAAGAGAGACCAACAAAGTGGGTTGGTTGAGTCAGTCCTGAAGTTTAGCTTTGCTCTCCATGTGTACGCCTTCTCATCAAAGGCTAGGAATTGAACAAAAAATTGAGAAATACTGGTTAGTTTCCGCTGCAATCGGGTTCCATCGAGAGGGAGATCATTTTATCTATCACGTCCTTGTGTTTTGCGAGCTACGGCAATCAAAACAAAGCGTGTATAAGAGTGAAAATGTAGTTGGGGGTGCCAGGCCCTTTTGTGTTCTGCATCTCTTCAATTCTTACCCCATCTAATCATTTCACTATCATGGAGCTGCTGCCCTTCCTAAAGTTAGGGAAGGAGCTCCGGGGTGGGTGAACAAATTGGATGTTCGATTCTTACCCCATTGAACGTTGGAAAAATCTGCATCGATCTATTTATTGGATTTGCTTTATTTACTAATAAGAGTTCCAATTAGTATCTTGTTTGTTGCTTGAATACAGGCGCTCGCTCTGCACCAGTTGAGAGAAAAAGCGAACCTGAACAAGTCATAGTACACGTAAGGGTTCAGTGAAAGGCTAATTAATAGAACTTTGTTTTTACAGCCGAAATCTCAAAAACCAATGGAGCAATGATATCACTACTTCCATTCCATCCCAAATCGATAGCTGCTATCAAATCGAAAGAGGAGCCTACTCAGGAGTTCGAAAAAGCATATGACAGGTTACCGTCCACTTCTATGCTTTGTTATATCAAAGTTAGGGAGAACTGTGATGAGTGTTTTGGTCCAAAGTTCGCATCATTAGGTATATTCCCTAACTTTGAAATTTGTTTGTTCATCACAAACCCTATTCTATTTCTTTTTTTTNTTTTTTTTCCTTCAGATTCCGTTTGCACCTTCTTGCTTCCCTGAATGGTCAAAATCGAATGATTAAACATGAACTATGTAGCACTTTAAAGCTTCTCGAAAGTGTAATTCGACTCATAGGTATGACTCTTTTTGTTACCCGTTTTTGATTTTTGGAAGTTTGCCTGAGCGTCCAATCGAGCAAGTTTTTTTTTCTCTAGGTGAATCCTCGGTCCACTATCGTACTTTAATGGCCGTGAATATCTTTAAAAACGTAAAACATGAGGTTTCCGATGGAGAACGTGATCAAGCGAAGGTTGGATTATTTCTTTCTCCAGACAGTTACACCGAAGACACTGTGAAATTTGTGGCGGAGGGTTAGTTTCAACTCAGATATACCGGAAAGTCGTAAAACTTGCAACTTTTTAGTTGTTGCTCAAATTCGGACTATCGTTGGCATGAAGCAGCTGCATGAAGCAATAGCCGTTTCATGGAACATCGCAAGATCCAGTAAAGTGATGTTGCCTGATTCCATTGCTTTAGGGGCCGTCGAACCATTTAACAGGTGTTTATTTTTTTTCATTATGATAGATCAAGATAAGCAACCCTATTAGAAGAGAGAAACCGTCGGAGGTCGCAGCGAGTGTGATCAACCGTACTCTTGCTACACTTCATCTGTCTTCGGTGCCTCACTTGGCTACTGGAGAAACTTTTCGGTAGGTACGCCGCTGCTATTGATCTTTTTTTAGTAAGATTCTATACGTTGTTCGAGGAACTGGGTAACTGTATTCACCTAATTTGTCTTACGTCATTCCAGCGGGGCGTATTCTTCACACATATTTCAGATGGGTTCGTAGTTGTCGTTTGGTGCAGAACAAGATTGCTTTCAGGGCTTATTTCCCTGATGAAATACAATGGAATGGAGATGATGTTGAGCAGAACGTTGAAACCGTTTCTCCTATTCGTGAAGCACTGTTAGAAGAACCAACTTTGGAGACGGAGCTTGTGAGAGTAACCATTTTGACAATTTTTAATTATCAATATTTATTTGTCTGGTTATGCTAAATTGATCATTTGTACTGCGCATTATAAGTACAGCTAGTCAGTTCAATGTTAGATGTATCAGAATAGGGTGGTGCTACCCGGATAAGAACGTGCTTCAGCGCTCGATGACGCTAATCGAGACTTTTTTTTTTGGAGTTTGACTTTCCTGTGGTTAAGATGAAGCAAGCTATTCCGTCAGCGAACAGATCCAGTTAACGTTTTTCTGGCCTTTAACGTCCCGAGTTCCTTCACTTGTGTATTTCAGCCATGCTCTTCATCGAAAGGATCTCACTTGAATTGTGTTGATGTTATCAGCGCCTTGAAGACCTTTTTCCCCGAAAATTTTGAAACCTTATCGAAACATCTGTTCGATTTGCTCGCTTCAGATAGGACAAGTGAAGAGCTTCAAGGAGAGGTATTATTCGAAGCTTACCATTCCTGTCAGATAGTTGATCTTTACATCCCCTTAACTTTTTTTCGTACAAAAGGGAAGTATAGATATCAGCTGATTTGATTTTGGTTTTGCAGTTGATTGACCTCGTTGGTTTCGATCATTTCGAAATGGTGGGGCAAATTTTGGAGTCTCGTCAACAAATTATCGGCGAAATGAACACTGCGCGGCATGAGGCGATGAACTTGTCAAGTTTTGCTCCCGAGAAGGTTTGATTTCCATTTTATTATAGTTCAACAAATTAGTCCACACTAGCAGGGAAGGTGTGAAACAAGGTGAGGAGCGTCATTGATGCTTTCTGTAAATTACGCTGCTGGCTTGGTATACATGAGAGGTTTTCATAAAGGCGATATAGAAGTGTTCTTCATCAGTATGAAATTGCATGTGTGTATTTTCACATGTATTTTGACTTGTCTAACGAAGTCTGCTAGTATTTATTATTGCACTTTGTTTTATCACATCAAGCAATTTTTGATGAATGCTACCGAAAACGATAAGAGCATAATAAGACTCGGAATATAACCGATTCCACCTTGAATGCATCGCTCGTTGCAGATAAACAACTCTGCTATCTGAAATTGTCACGGTTACTTAATAGAGAGGAAATTCAGTTTCAATGTAATTCATTTGCGTTTTTTGATCTGCACTCCTCATCGTACTCCCATAAAGTATGAGTTGCTCAATCCTGCTCTCAGCTTTCCTCTTTACTTATTAAAACCTTATCTGCTACTAATTGTTGGGTCTTTGAGACATGTCCTCTTCATTCGCCTGTCTTTCGTTGACACTTGCGTGTGAAACTATTCATTTTGATTCCATTTATCGGAAAATCGTAATTTCTTCTGTGTTGAATCCTCTTTATGATGCGCCGCACTTTAGTGAGTACATATCTTTTTATTTGAGCACCAGCCTTGAAGGATGTGGTATAGGCTGTGGTGAGTTATGAGTTTATGCAAAAAGTTTGAGAACGGTCAGGTAACCCGAGAGAGGTCTAGCCCACTTTCGCTAGTGCCTTTTGTTTTAGAGCAAAATTATGGTCTGGTCCGAGATTCCAACCATCCTAAGCTTGACCGACCTTTTCAGAACACCCAATTTCGGACAGATAGACAGCCACTAGCGATTTCTTTACATGTAGTGATATCATAGATACAGTGTGTTTCAAAAGTATGTGCACACCCAACATTTTGTTTTTTTGGGAATACCATTGCTTTCTTAAACCTGTGACCTTCACCATTCAATTCCTTGTGTGCGATAACCTACGAACACTTTCTCTGAGAAAACATCGTAACTGCTAACACATTTTTTTATTGAAGAAAAATTTTTTCTTTGTTTCAAAAGTATGTGCACACTTG